GGCCGAGGGGGGCGGGGTCAAGGTGATCGGCAGATTAGGGGGGGGAAAGGGGGTCTACTGGAAGAGTCAGAGGTGGTGGTGGGGTGGGAGGCGGGGGGTGCGGTGGCAGTGGGGTGGGGGTTGATGTGTCCTTCTCATTTGTTTCCGTCTTTCCTCCTCATTCTCCTCGGAGTCCCCATCTAGGTCATGGATTGTGTTTTGGTTTTGTCTGTTATTCTTAGGATATTTGTCTCTCGGCCAGTGATTGCGAGAATCCTTGAAGTTCTTGTTCTCCGAATATCAACAACGGTTTCAGCTGATGATGCTCGTCCTGCCTGGACGCCTCCCTTGTATTTCCCTCTAGCCCTGCAGTTATTGGGTCTGAATCTTAAAAACGGCAATGTGCAATCTTCTAACTGAGGTAGGCCCATTGGTTGGACGCCTCCTTTTCCTGGTGTGGGCCATGGTTCTACCGGACCGGGTATCGTTGAATTTCCACTTTTGTACACCGTGTCATGGCTGTAATTGTCAGTAGACTAGGCTTTTGTGGCGGAGTGTGCGGGTTCTTTTGTACACTGTCATGATGGCTGTAGACTTGGCTTTTGTGGCAGAGGGTGCGGGTTCGATTCTGTGGTAGAGGGTGCGGGTTCGATTCTGCGGTCACTGATGGGTCTGAGACCTGAGAAAGTCCGACTACCAGTGGTAGATTCACTGCACCTGGGCAGCAAGGTCATTCTGGATAACAAAACTCCATGGCAATCCTTTTCTGCTGGCCTGAAGTTTAAATCACTTTCTGAAACTCATGACAGGACAAAAATGCTCTTTGTGAGTTGTAGGTGTCGCCGCAGCACGATCCCATGGCGAAACTCCCAGGTCTGTGTGGTCGAGGTTGTGCACTCTGTGGAGTTTTTATTGCCCATAGAAACTCAAAGAGGTGCTTGCGAGTACTTACCCCTATTTTCTGATTCCTGAGGTGTGGGACTGAGTCTTAGTTGCATACTAGCTGATGTGTGTGGATGGAAAGGGGGAGGCAGGGGTGGGTTGGAGAGAGATTACCCCTTTTCTGCAAATTTTCACTCAGACTACACAAACTCGAAAAGGTGCCTTGCGAGCACGTACCCCTAATTTGTGATTCGTGAGCTGTAGGACCGAGTATCTCCCCCCCCCCTCCCCCCACTACCCTCCCAGCCCTCTCCCCTTTAAACCAACACTACCTCCAAACCTCTTTTTGCCGAGGTGGAAAAGAACTGCATGCCAAGCTT